ATACGTGCCTCGCAAACGGACAGGATACGGATCAATCCGAATAATGTACTGCTATCTACTGAAAACGGTTCGCGTGCGGCCCGTATGCGGTTCCTATTTCAACCGCGCGCGAACGCGAAGCGTCCGTAACGGACCCGTTCGCAGTTCACCTGTGATTGTGGTAAACATATTATTAGTTAACAAAATTTTGAAAAAAAAATTGAAAAAAAAAACTCCTGTGGGAACCGAGACAATGGAGCTCAAAGTCCAAATACCGCTTTCGCTCAAATAGAAGTCCTATATGTGGACTTTGAGCTCAATTATCTCAATTCCTGTTGAACATATCAAATAGTGATAAGCTGATAAAATGTTGGTGATATTATGATAAACATTTTATCAGTTGACAAATTTTCGATATCTTCATCAAGAACCGAGATAAGTCCGGAATTTTTTTTCGAAAATGATAAATTATAACGTTTACTGAATTTTAATGTTTTTCAAATCCATTAAAATCATTTTTTTTCAATTGAAACATTTTTTGGTATTCAGTTGTAGTTTTTTTTTCTAATTTTACAAGCAATCTAACATTTTCTAGTTACATTCTGAGAATTCCAAAGATTATGTTTCTGCCTGAAGCTGTCAAAAACACCCAAGCTTCGAGCTCAATTATCTCGACTTCTGTAAAAGATATCAAAATTGTGTCAACTGACAAAATATTTATCATGAAACTTTTTCCAATTGATAATTTTTGATAACTTTCACAGGAAAGGAGATAATTGATCTCAAAGCATAGTGTTTGCTTTAATAAAAACATTTAACTTTGAGATTGATTATCTCGGTTCCTATAAAAGATCTCAACAATTTGTCGACTGATTATAATTTTAAGATAAACATTTTTGTCAGTTGACAATTTTTTTTAATTTATTTTACAGTAACCAAAATAATTTGAGTTAAAGAAGACCGCCCTCAATGAGCAGCTAGTGCGGCTTTCTCTACGTGACCCCTTTTTTCAAGTCAAATCATAAAACTTTAAAAAACGAAAATTGTATTCCAGATGCCATTGACATGTACGTGGGATCGCTTCTTGAAGACCCAGTTAGGGATGCTTTGGTCGGACCAACGCTAGCTTGTATCATTGGAGAGCAATTCAAGAGGACTAGAAACGGAGACAGGTTACTTTTTAGGACATTTCAAAAATCAGCAAATAGCTTTAAAATTAAGAATTTTCAAAAATTCTGTGAATGCAGAGTTTTCAATCTAGGTTTGTTTTCTATGCTCCAGAAGTGATCGGAAACAGCTAAGCTTCAGACTCCTGAAAACAGTCAAAATGACCGAAATCAACTGAAAAATACGTTTACTGTAGATTCGATTCTAAGCTATACCATATTTTTTAACCTTAAAAATTGAAAAATCCTTCCAGATTATGGTATGAGAACTCCAAGGTGTTCTCTGGTGAACAACTAACCCAAATCAAGAAAATCACAATGTCCCGAGTACTTTGCGACGCTGGAGAGCACTTCCCAATGGTTCCAAGACGAGCATTCTCTGTGTTCAAACCCACTGCTTCGAATCTTGTCAAGTAGGAACTGCAATGGATTACTGTAGCCAATAAATTCGATTTTTAGGTGCGAGGAGATTCCAGACTTGGACTACAACGCGTGGAAGGAAGAGCTTACTGTCTAAATGCTTTCCCTTTTTCATTTTAATAGTTCTCTAGATTCCCAAAAACCCCTTGATTTCTTTCCCCAGGATTTTTCTTCTCCCTCATAGAAAAATTACGTCGATTCTAGTCACTCTTTTGTCCGCCACGCCCATTGCTCCTCCTTCAAATAGTTTCACAAAAATCGAGATGATTCCGATACACAGGTCTAATATTTTTCGGTGATTTCTTTGTTTTTTTTTCTGGCATACTGTAAAACCTTTAATAGAAGAGCCCCAAAATTTAAGCCAATTCATCTAGGCTCTTGTGAAAGATATCAAAAAGTAGTCAACTGATAAAATGTGTCTGTGAATATGATAAGCAATTTATCAGTTGACAAATTTTTGGTATCTTTGATAGAAATCAAGATAACTTGGCTCAAAGTTAGGGGCTCATTTATTACAGGTTCTACGATATTTTTGTGCTTATTTTAGAGTTTAGAATATTTTCTGTACATTTTGAAAATCCAATAAACCAAATAAATTTGATAGTTTCGCTTTTTGACATTTTTTAATATTTCTGAGATTCTGAAAATGTTTTGAAATTTCAAATTTCGAAACTTTGGAAATTTCTAATTTTTTCGAATTTATCGGAATTTTTGAAAATTCGGAATTTCAAACTTTTGAAAATTCAGAAAGAGATTATGAGATTCTGAGATTCTGAGATTCTGAGATTCTGAGATTCTGAGATTCTGAGATTCTGAGATTTTGAGATTCTGAGGTTCTGAGATTCTGAGATTCTGAGATTCTGAGATTCTAAGATTCTGAGATTCTGAGATTTCGAGATTTCGAGATTCTGAGATTTTGAGATTCTGAGATTCTGAGATTCTGAGATTCTAAGATTCTGAGATTCTGAGATTCTGAGATTCTGAGATTCTGAGATTCTGAGATTCTGAGATTCTGAGATTTTGATATTCTGAGATTCTGAGATTCTGAGATTCTGAGATTCTGAGATTCTGAGATTCTGAGATTCTGAGATTCTGAGATTCTGAGATTCTGAGATTCTGAGATTCTGAGATTCTGAGATTTTGAGATTCCGAGACTCTGAAACTCTGAAACTTCTAAATTCTGAAATTCAAACACACAAAAATGCTCATTTATTCAATTCCAAAATTGCAATAAAATCCAATAATCATCCCATAACGAGTGGTGGGAGCATTCCCTTGGCTCCTGGAGCTCCCCCTTTCAAATCACTCATGCTCTTGATGGTCCAGGCAGAAATATCTGCATTTTTCTCGAGAACAAAGTCAGCGGATCTGAATGCCTTCTCAGATCTTGGCTGACGGAAAATGACAGAGACTTCGATGTTGGATCCAACAAATTTGGCGGACCGGAATGAGATACGAGTGTCTTTCAAGTCGCGGAGAAGAGCTTCAGCATCGAGATTGGTCTCGCCTGGAATACGATAGATTTTGATCTTCAATAGATTTTCTGAAGTAGGGCTTCCACTCGATCGGGAAATAGCCAATCAACAACCGACCGAAATGACAGTAACCCTATCCTCCTAACGTAACCCTATCCTGCATCCTCTACAGTAACCTACCACTTTGTGGAGAGAAATGAGCAAGAAGCTTGAAGAGGTCTCCATCTTCAATAGCTCTCATGAATCCCTTGAAGAAGTTATGACACTGCTGAATGGCATCTTGGTCCGATTGAGCGGAACAGGCGACAATGGTAGAGACCAGAATAAAAAGAGAGAACAGTTTCATTTTGATACTGACTTTTCCGTTGAGCGTCATGGGTTTTTATTGGAGAAATTTTGAATGGAAATTCCCAGAAAGGGGAGGGTTGGGAAACGAAAAAAGGGAATAGGGAATAGGGAAATATGATGGGAAAATACAGAAAAATGAATTTTATGGTTTTAAAATTTTCAGAAAAAATCAAAAATCAGAAAATGTGGAATCTGGGGAGCGAGATAACAAAAAATCATTAAAAGGAACTCGGACCAAGTTTTTTTTGAATATTTTTTTATTATTTCCGAATCTTGTAATTTGGGTTTATTCAATTGTTCAAATACTGGAATTCTGAAATTTCGAATTTCCGATTCTCTGAGTTTATGAGTTTTTGAATTTCTTAATTTTCGAGAATTCGTGAAAAAGGAAGTCAGTACTCAGGGAATTCAGAAATTCAAAAATACAGAAATTCAAAAATACAGAAATTCAAAAATACAGAAATTCAAAAATTCAGAAATTCAGAAATTCGGAAATTCAGAAGTTCAGAAATTCAGAAATTCAAAAATACAGAAATTCAAAAATACAGAAATTCAAAAATACAGAAATTCAGAAATTCAAAAATTCAGAAATTCGGAAATTCAAAACTATCATCTTCCTAACTTCTTGAATTTCAAAAATTTGAAAATCGGAATTTCGGAATTCAAAAATTTCAAAATTTGAGGAGTCTTCTAAATGAAAAATTCCAAAGTTTCAAACTTCCATTATTTGAATGCTCTGATCTCTGAACTTCCGGATGTCTTATTTTTCGAATTCTGAAATTTCTAAATATCTCAATTTCCAGATTTTTCAAACTTAAAATAACCCGAGTGCTGAGTTTCCGAATTAGGAACTTTTGAAACCCTAAATTTCTCAATTTCCGAAATTTCTAAATTTAGACCCAGAAAGAAATGTTCATGACTAAAACTGACTAAATTTTCAGTCATCTTTTTTTACGTCACTGTTTTTTTAAACGAAATTTTTTTTTGGATAAAAATGTGAAAAATCAATTTCCACGTGAACAAACATCCCTAAGTCGAAGAAGAAAAAACAAAACCATGTCAATGCCAACTCAATGATCTGTCTCCGACAGTCTAGAAAATTCAGTACAGAGTTTTCTCTCTCTCTCTCCTCAAGCCAAGGATCAATCACTCTCCTAGCGCGTATTTAAACTTCAAATACAAGTGAGTTTGTTTATTTGTTCTGGAAGTTTCTAAAATATCGATTTTCAGTCGTGTAAAAAAGAAGCTGTGATTTGATGTACACTTCTTTTTTCATCACCAGTCTTCTCCTATTGGCTCCGGTTGTTTGGACTGCTGCAAAGCAAGGTAATTCATTGAGAATTTGGAAATAGTTTTTTAGAATCTTCAAATTTTAGAATCCTCAAAATTTATTTAGACCGAGCCAAAAAATTTTCGGGGTCATTTTTTTAAATTTTGAAAACATTCTTTCCCAAAAAAAATTTCTGAAGTTGCAAAATTTTTTCAACTCTCTGTCCCGGTCCGGCTCTGGGTTTTCAAGTATGATCATTTTCAAAAAAAAACTTCTGATGACGATAATGATAATTCTAGCAACCTATCTATCAAAATATTCCAATTTTTCAGACAAGTCAGACCTGGAGCTGATCACCGAAGACTTCCAAATCCTCGCTCGCATCACCAATGCCGCATTCCTCCAAGCCGCACTCGTTCGAAAAGATGTGAAGGCTCGTGACGTCATTGACGAATTTCTGAAGATATCTCCTCTGGATTTCGATCACATCACCGCAATCGATGTCCAAGCAGCTGTCGAATCCATCACCAAGACATACCGAAATGCTCAACAGTTCGCGAAACTCGAGGAGTCTGATAAATATCAACTTGATGATGTTGCCTCTAATTTTGACTCTAAATTGGAAGAATGGGATGATGAAGAATGGAATCCGATCATGAAGATCAGTTTGGAAAGCTTGTTCGATGAGAGCGAAAGAATATTCATGGAGTTTCAAATGATCTGCAGCAAATCCAGCAGTTCCATTCATTCGTTGCGTTCGTATATGGATATGAGAAGCAACAACAAACCAGCTGATGATCTTGCTGTTGAAAGAGTTAAAAATTTCAAAAAAGAATTTAAATCCATCTGCCAATGTTTCGAAAAACTCGTTGCTTTTTCAAAAACCATGTCCAGTTCTTCACTCAATACCAACAACAACTCGCCTATAACCATTCTACCTGAAATGGAAGAAAGAATACATAGATTGAACGTCTGGAAATCTGTGACTGATCTCATCAGAAGATATGGACTAATTCAAGTGACATATGGGGGAAAGAATCTTTTCCAAAGTCGAACAAGTCCATTGGTCAACAGATGTCCGAACTGATTCAATTCCACAAGCTTCACTCTGATAGCCTGGATTCTCCTCCTAACAGCCTGACAATTGGCTTCTTGCAACCAGATGACACGCAGAAAGTGCAGGATGATTTGAAAAGTACGTGGTTTGAGAAACATTTTGTTAGAACAGCAAACGTGGAAATGTTATCAAAAGCTCTGAAACCGTTTTTGGAAATCTCCAAAACTATCAAACCTCTTGCTGATAAATGGTTTCCGATCTATCGATTGGATGATCAGACTTCAGAGAACCATAAAGAGGTTGCGGAGTTTTTGAGAGAAGTCGATGACTATGTTTTCAATCGAAAAACATATGATCGTCAAATCGGCTTAATGGTCGGTGCTTTATCGAAGTGTTTCAAACAACCAGTCGATGAGTTCAACACCACCCTTGCTTTGTATGAGGAACAAACAAAATCCAGAAAAGTTGCACTAAAGGGATTGATCAAGCTTGATGACACTGTGGACAAATTTATAGAAACAAACTTCATTAACGTGACTTCTCCCTCTGAATCTGACGCTGTGAAATGTTTCAAAATCCTTGGCCACTTATTACCCGACAATATAACCAATGAAAATAGTCTTCCGATAATAGAAGAAATGCGAAAGAACTATACACGTTGTGTTACAAGACAAGGTTATAGTATGACGGACCTAATTAAAAGCTTCGGTGTTGTTCATGAAGATATGGATTACTATCTGGAGCTATCAATGAATGTGAGCAATTCCGATGGAAACAAAGCACAAACAACCCCCGTTCCTTTGGAAGACGTTATTAAACAATCAAATGTAGTGTCATCGTTAGAATGCTTGAGGTAAGCTTGAGGTAAAATATTAAATTGAGATTTTAAAAAGTTACTTTTCAGAAACGAAGAATTCAAGACTGCCAATTTGGAGAAATTGAGACCAATAGCGAAATTGCTAGCGACTATGTCTTCACCGCCAAATGCCACGTTTGTGAAAGCAATTGAGAGTTATTTGGAATCCATTGCTCAGGTGAGGTTGATTCTTAAAAAATTTAGAAAACATTTTCTCAAAAACTTGATAGTTAAAAAATTTAATTTTCCAAAAAAATCTGAAGAAATGGTCTTTTTTGCTCTGCAGTGCTATGAAAAGAAGCAGGAGAAGAGTGCGGTGAGGTGTGCAAACTTTGAAGGCGCATATCTCAAAAACTAAGGACGCTAGAAAAACTTTGTCAACTATCAAAATGTGTAAAATTTTAAGATCTTCATTTTTGTAGTTTACGCTTTTTTGATAGCTACTATAGTTTTTTGATATATGCGCCTTCTGAGATAATGATGCATTTGAAAAGACGCAGACAGAATCCTTTTGGCATACAATTTGAAAAAAAAGTTCCAGGTAAAATCTGCTCTTGCAAAAGTGGAGAAAACGATTCGAGAAGTCGATTACCGTCCCAAAAGAGCCGTTGCTTCTGATGAAACCGATCTAGTGTTAGCGTTGAACATTTCAAGACTCGAAAACGAGAATATGGGAACCTGTGTGAAGGCGTTGTCGAATCTTGTTGAAGTTCGGGCTCGCAGAAACCAATTGCTCAGTGTCGGAAGGCTCGATGGCGATGCTCGGGATCTGATGTCCAAAGAAGGTGGTCTTGAGGACTTTATGGATTCAACGGATGATTTATCAAGGCTTCTGAAGCAATCCGATGATCTGGACAGCAAGGCGAAGACATTGAGAGAAAAGAGTCTAGAAGAGATGTCCGCCGTTTTCCAAGCCATGACTCACATGCGTGGAATTTTGGGAGATAGGGACAAGTTGTGGAAACTAAGCAGTAAGTTGAAAATCCTTTTTTTCCAAGCAAAAACTTCCTACTTTTCCAGAATCCGACTCCGCCAATGATCCAAAGTTCGATGGTGCGAAAAAGAAGTGGAAGGTTCTCACAGCAATCAATCTCAACTTCCAATCGTACAAAGCAAAAGTTGCGAATGGAGAACTTGTGGTTTCGACGCTAAAAAACCATTTTGACCATATCTTCGGACATTCGAAGTCAGGAGACCACAAGACGGTGATCGTTGAAAAGCATAACAATTGGATTCTGATAATTGGGATATCCTTTGGAATTTTTTTCTTATCTGCCGCTGCCGTTCTTGGTATCTACGGATTCACAGAAAAAGGCAAAAAGCATTACAAGAAGATCTGGTTCTACTATTTTGCAAAACCGGAAGAGTTTGAAGCCAGATGGAGATTCTCAATGTTTATGGATATGGAGAATGGAAAACACGCTCTACTGGACGCAGTTCGAGAAACCAATCACACCAATATGCTGAACGCGTTGAAGAGAGGAGTTTATGTGAATGCTTATAACAGTGAGTCAAGCGGATTACTGTAGAAAAAATATAGCAATGAAATTTTAGAGTTTGGGAACACTGCTCTTCACTTAACGGCTCGTGGTGGTCATTGGAAAATGGTTGAGCTTCTCATCAAATATGGAGCCGATCGTTCGCTTCTGAACTACAAAAATCTGACGGCTGAGCAATGTATTCCAGTCCCGAATGAAAGAACGGCTGGAGGCAAGGAAGTAGACAACACAGTGAGCTTGGAAGACAAGACGGAAGCGTACAAGAAGACTTTGGCTGTCTTCGAGAAGTACAAAAATAAGAAATTCCGAAAGGCTGTGCCAGATGTCTTCCCGTTCACTTCATTCCACATTTATTTCGATGAAAATACTGAGGAAGCTTTGGTGCATCGTTTTTCAGAGAGATTTGGGTCGATTGTAAGTATTTTATTAGATTGTCTGAAAACCCCAGTTTCTCAATACTATATCGCTTTTGGAATTCTCAAATTCTTAAAATTAAAATTTTTTAAATTCCACAATTCCGAAATTCAGAAATTCGGAAACTCAAAAATTCAGGCATTCAGAAATTCAGACATTCAGAAATTCAGAAATTCAGAAACTCAGAAATTCAGAAATTCAGAAATTCAGGAATTCAAAAATTCAAAAATTCAGAAATTCAAAAATTCAAAAATTCAAAAATTCAGAAATTCAAAAATTCAGAAATTCAGAAATTCAGAAATTCAGAAATTCAGAAATTCAGAAATTCAGAAATTCAAAAATTCAAAAATTCAAAAATTCAAAAATTCAGAAATTCAGAAATTCAAGAATTCAAAAATTCAGAAATTCAAAGAAATTCAGAAATTCAAGAATTCAAAAATTCAGAAATTCAGAAATTTAGAAATTTAGAAATTTAGAAATTTAGAAATTTAGAAATTTAGAAATTTAGAAATTTATATCGCTTTTGGAATTCTCAAATTCTTAAAATTAAAATTTTTTAAATTCCAGAATTCCGAAATTCAGAAATTCGGAAATTCAGAAATTCAAAAATTTAGAAATTCGGAAATTCAGAAATTCAGAAATTTAGAAATTTAGAAATTTAGAAATTTAGAAATTTAGAAATTTAGAAATTTAGGAATTTAGAAATTTAGAAATTCAGAAATTTAAAAATTTAGAAATTTAAAAATTTAGAAATTTAGAAATTTAGGAATTTAGAAATTTAGAAATTTAGAAATTTAGAAATTTAGGAATTTAGAAATTTAGAAATTCAGAAATTTAAAAATTTAGAAATTTAGAAATTTAGAAATTTAGAAATTCTGGTATTCCAAAATTCTCAAAATCTCAAATTCCTGAATTCCTAAATTCCTTAATTGAAAAATTCCCAAATTCCAAAATTCTAAAATTCTAAAATTCAAAAGTTCAAAAGCATTCCGAAATTTTAGACTCTCAGAATATCAGAATTGTTCCGAATTTCCAAAAAACCTGAAATTTCCGATTTTTTTCGGAATCTCAAAATCTCAAAATTTTAGTTTTCAAAATTTCAAATTCTCAAATTCTATAATTTCAAAACTCCGAAATTCTGACATTCTTAAATTCCTAAACATCTCTTTTCCATTTTTGTCTGAAACGAATTTCAAAATTTCTTATTCTCAGAATTTGTGAATAGTTCCGAAATTCCTAATTTTTGAATTAAAAAGTCGTTCAGTATTTCGAATTTTTAAATTTCCCAAGTCACAATGATTTCAAATTCAGAATTCTTTTAGAATCTCAAATCTTCAATTTTCAGACATCCCACGACGATATTTCGATCGGCATCACCCACTACGTTGTCAAAACCGATGAAAATGGCATTTTCGAAGCAACTGGATTGAAGCAGCTCGAGCTGATTTTCAATGGCATCATTTTGGTCCAAGATAAATGGATGACCGCTTGTCTCGAAGATGAAACTCAAATCGAACACGATACAAAGTACCTCGTCCAGAAGTTCAAATACAAGGGAGTGATCTATGACACTGTGAACCAATGGTCCACGGCGATGGCTAAAAGTGAGATGCCGTTTTTGTGTGGTGCCAAAGTGGCGTTGTTAGTGAAAGAGATGGATGATAGTAAGTTTTTGTTCATGCTTCTTCAACTTCTCCCATTTTTTTCAGTTCTTACTTTTTCTTCTCTTATCGATAATAATGGAGGAACAATGTTGCATGAATTCCCGCTGAGCGAGAATTACAACGAAGACTCTCATCCGTATCTTCATTCTAATCTTGGACCTCTCTTCCTGATTCATGATGGAACGGTAGCCAAAGAATCCTTGAAATTTTCTAAAAATTCGTTTTCTTTTCTTTCAGCCTGGTGTGTCCGATTACAAAAGCAACAAAATGTACACGTTGTTCACCAAGGAAGAGTTCTACGCGTTCATGCTCAAAAGAGAAGTTTCGAGGGATACTCGTATCAACCCGCCTGATGTGGTAAAGCAGACCTGAAATGCAGAACTCGGCTTTTTTATTTAAATGTTTTCCCACGAATTTTTAAAAGGATTATTGAATAAAGGTTTTCAAAAAATGTCGACCGTGGTAAAGTGCCCGCAATCCAATTTGATGATGATTGAAGGGGTGGACAACGTTCCGTTCTCTATTCGCCTCTTCCATGCACTCGCAATAAATAGTACTTACGAGTGTTTGGTAGAGAGGCGGAGTTGAACCCACACGAGTGGGATGGCAAGTGGCGCGGCGGTCAGCGCCGCTAACCACTAGGCCATGAGTGCAACAGAAAAAAGGAGAAGGAGAGTGTGTATATGTTTGTTGGGGTTTGCGGACTGGGGAGGGAGGGGAAAGGTGAGAGAAAAGTAGAGTGGTTAAAAAAATTTTTTTTGAAAAAATGCTTTTATTGGAATTTTTTTTCGAAATCTTTGAACTTCTAAACCGAGAGTTTTTTGATGTTTAAAACAAAAAGGAATATATGTAAAGCGAAACCCATTCATGCATAATTTTATGTGGTTTCCCTTGGCTTATATAAAGGTCTGAAATTCTCTGAAAAATCATTTTTCCTCTGAAAATGGTCCACGTGGCAACTATTCTAACGATTCTGTGTTTTTCGTTGGCAACGTTTTCTGATGCTTCGATTGCGACCGCACGTCTTCGGGTAAATTTAAAACTTTTCATTGTTTCGTGCGAAGACCCAATTTTCTCAAAATTATCGATTTTTCAGACTGGCCAATCGTTCCTAATCCGTGAGGCTGAAAACGCAAATGCGCTCGCTCATACCATCGCTTCGGGACCTCAAAAAATGGAATTCACGGGAAGAAATCGTGGAAAACGGGTAGATCAAAATGGCCAAATCGTGAATTCTGAGAATTTCCGCTTGTTCCAAAATGGATCGGTTCTGATCAAGCACGCCAGCCCATCGGACGCCGGAACCTATCAGAAGGATCCTAATGTGAGGGTTACTGTAGTTTTAAGAAAAACATTTTTTTAAATCTAATTTTCAGCCAATGATCCGTATTGGAGACATGGGATACGCACCGCCAATCCTCATCATTCAAATGCACGATTTTTGAATTTTTGAGATTGATGGGGTTATTCATGTAGCGAAAGTCTGTATTTCAAAACGCATTTCAATACATTTCGGTGGCACCGAAATGTATTGAAATACATTTTGCGACACTCCTGCTTTGACTTTCGGTGCAGACTTTTGCTACATGAATAATCCCATGAATGAAAATTTAAGACAATATCTGAGAAACTCGAAAACACCATGGCAAGCTCCAAAAAGCTGCGAAAGTTGCATTTCCAGTGAGAACATATGAACTCCAGAAATGTACGAAGACGATGAGATCAAATTTTAAAACTTTGTCAAAATACTACTTACTAAAAATACTACATCTGGTATAAATTTCGTCAAAATTGGAGGTGGCCGATTTTGGGCGATTTTTAGTTGCCATGTACTCCCCCACATGGTGCTTTTGCACTTTTTGGAGTAAAACTTAGCTTGCGCTCAGGATATGCAAATTCAAACAAATATTTTCTAATGTTATTTTTTGCGCTGGTTTTGAATCTAACATTGTCTTTTCTACACTAATGTTAAAATTTTTCACGACGACAGATTTTCAGTGATTTTTTTTCAAAGTCGGTTGAAAAATCAAAATTTTCAGCTGAAAGGAAACGAGTTGGATTTTTGGTCCCAACACAAAAAGTGCTCAAAATAGTAAGAGTAATTCATTCCAAGTTACATCAAATCATTATCTTCATTTTCATTTTTTGATTTTCCTATTGACCCGATCTCAATTCTCTCAGAAAATGTGTCTTAAGAGATCATTTAAAAAAAAAATAATTTGTTTAATTTATGACATGATAATCGGGAAAAAATCAGTAAAAGGGCAGTTTTGGGGTGAAAAAATAATTTGAAAGTTGAAAGTTCGATCTACTCGTCATCCGAATCCACTGGCGCTTCAGTGACAAGGCCTGGCTCTTGTCCGATGCATCCGCCGGCTCGCCACGCCTCTTTTCGGCGTTCGTTGAGAATTGGAAGAAGATTTTGGATTTGGGACAGGCGGCTCTGGAAGAACTGGAAATTTTGAGCAAAAAAAAAATTCTAGAAAGTTCCAGAGTCGTTTGAGTCATATTTTAAGTTATATTTTTAGCAAATGCGCTCCATGGCACTTTTCAGCTTTTGGAACTTTTTAAAATTTTTCCGAGCATTTATTATGAAGCATTTTTTATCAGTCCCATTCTGAAGAAAACATTTGGAAGTGGGCGGAGTCAGGGGGCGGAGT